CAGTGCTGCCCATGGCAGCAGCCTGGCACAGAGCCATGGGCACACCACGCCAAGGGAATGCCCAAGGGGTGCCCCTGCATGCCAGGGCCCAAACTTATGGACTACTCTCCTGCCTCTCTCCTGTTTCCAAGCCCTTGCCACTCAACCCTTGCATGTGTCAGCTACAGCTCTGCTGAGGCTGCCCCACAATCTCATCACCTGGAGGTGGAGAGGGACAGTCCCTGTCGTGCTCCTGATATTGTGGAGGGATCTGTGTGAAGTCCCTCTCGTGAGCAGGGTCCAGACCCTCAGACTAGCTGGATCACAACAGCTCTGCCAAGCTACAACTGAAACCTCTTTGGAACATGGCAATAAATTTCATCCCGCGCACAAGCTCGGGTTCTCCCACCAACAGCTACCCTTGCCCTCTGCTTCCCAGAGGACAGCCCTGTGAATCCCAAATCCTGTCAAGAAAATGAGCTCATCAGGGCCCTGGCTGCTAATGCCAGGAACCACTGCTTGGCTTCAAAGGCCCCAAGGCAGGACATCCATCCTCACCCAGGGAAAGCAACGTTTCCTTTGGCACATCTGTGAGGGCATGCAGAGCTCCAGGAGTGCCCTGGCAGGGTGGTCCCAGCCCTGGCCCACGTGAGCACTGCCAGCCCTGAGCAGCCGTGGCAGGGCTCAGCCATTCACACCAGCCCAGGAGCTGCCTTTGAACTCGCCTTTCTTCCAGGAGAACATCGTAAAACGCTTCCAAGCAGGCGTGTCCAAAGCTTTGTAGCTTCAAAAGCCACATGGGCAGCTCGCCAAGAACCTGAGGGCTGGGCTTCAGTTCCATAGAAATCTATGGGCATTCCTCAAATGGAAAAATCCAGTGAGGCAGAGTTGTCTCTGCTAGGATGTCCCAGCTGGGTGCAGAGACACTGGCTATCAACCCTCCCCAGCTATAAACCAATCAGCCTGTTGGCACTGTTCTTCCTCTGCCATTCCTTTAGGGTTGCTTTCAACCCATACCAGTCATGATTTAATGATTTTCTGCTCCATCATCCTCTGTCCTGGGCACCAGGAATGTCTCGGAAAGGAAACTTCAACAGGGAAAGCATCTCCATGGCTGGGACCAAAGGAGGGCACAAAGCCAGAGGGGTACCTGCCCAAGATGTGTGTCCTGGGGGATGGTCCTCTATGGGGGACCCCACCTGGAGCAGGTGTGAGTGATCAGAGCTGGTGGGGTCAGCTCTTGGCAGCAAAGCCCTCATGGAAAGGAGTCAGGTCACACAGCTGCTCCAGCATAGTCTGAAGGAGCATGGAAGGAGCTCTGCCCGCTGCCCCAGCTGGAACTGGCGTGGGTTCTGCCACTGGAATTGCCAGAGGCTGGAGACAAAAAGCTCCTGCTCTCCCTTCCCTAATGAGCAAGGCTGGAGCAGAGACCACATACTCAGGACGGGGAGGCTGTAGGAGGAGCATGGCCCGGGCAGGGGTGACAGCTGAGTTTTGGCCAGGAAGTATAATGTGTTTGAACACATCATCACATCAGGATACAGCAAGGATGTGGCAAGAACACCACCTTAAACAATGGATTCAGTTATTATATCAGTAGCTCGGATATATCAAGAAAGATTTGGATTTTTGCTAATACACTCATCTACTATTTTGGCTTTTTCCCCCCTATTAGAACAGTTGGGTTTTCTTCTCTCTTTATTTTAAACAAAGCTAAAAAAAACCAAAAAAAAAACCCCAAAGAACACAAAAAAAAATTCCAAAAAAACAAAAAAATGTGTCCTTTGCTCTGCCTGCCCACACTGGGTGGCACCAAGCTACTGTCACCTGCTGAACCACAGACCAAGAGCTGAACTTCAGCTCCACTGCTTTGTCCCCAAAATTCACCGTGTATGGCCCTGACTCATCCTTTTGCAGCAGCGGCCATCCCTCCTGCAGAGACACCCTGTGCTGCCAGGAGCCTCATCTACAGCAGGGACACAGGGAGTCAGGGAGTCAGGGCAGGGGTGCTGTGGGTCTCCAGGGGACCTCACCCCTGGGATGGTGAAGGATGGGGAGGGCAGTGCCAGGTGTGGGGCACAGGACCCTGCTGGCTCTGTCCCCATCCTGCCAGCCCTGTCCCTCCGGGCACGGCAGAGCCACTCTGCCACCCGTGACAGGCTCGGGTACCTTGACACTGGTGTCTTTGGAGAGTCCCGTTTCGTACTGAGGGCACACCCTCAAGGTGACAGAGCCCGGCTTCTTCCCTTGCTCGGCCA